GGGGTCACAGATAATTTAACTGATAAATAAGCGACCTACTCAATCTTAGAAAACGAAAAAACAATAACCTTTCTTCTCCATACAAGAAAGAGCTTTGGGCATTTTCTTTTCTGTGGGCAATAAAGCAATACCACCCAAACCTGCAGGAAGACGCAGTAGCGATAGTTATTTGCGTCACTCGTGCACAATTGCTACGTAATTTCAGAGCAAACTGTAGCGACCAACAAAGCCGGATTTCAAAATGATGCGTTATGTTGCAATGGGTTGCTTTTGTTTTCTCAACGTCGTAGAACCTTCAATCTACTTCTCTCAATCTACGAGAAAAAAAACAATTTGTCGAACTCTTTTATCCCTTTCCCAAGTATAGTTTTCAAAATTTTAGTTTCAGTGCCACTCGGCGGAGATTTGTAGCTCCTACATTTATATTTTTGTCCTTGAGCAGTGATAGTGGTTTTTGAGCTGCTTTTATTTCCTTAGTCCTGCACCATCCACGGAGTAAGTGGAGAGCTAACTGTGAGTGGGCGTCTAGAGTCTTTGGGGAATTTCTGATTTCCAAGTCTTAATGGGGTCCCAGGAAGAGACCAGTCCCATGTGACATGGGCAACCGTACTTTGAATTAGGAGCTAATGTCGATTTGACGCTGCTGAATAACAGACAGGACGCTGTAAGTACATGGCGTTTGAACCAGATTCACAATGCGCATGCCTGCGAGATTTTTAAAAAGTATTATTCCCGCGAAAAAAATGTTGCTAAGTGCCGATTTTAGAAGAAATATCTAGAGAAAGAGGGGAGACACGAATCTGCTAATTTTTTCAGAACCTCGTAGGTTGTTAAATAAAAAAATATAATATTCTACTATACCGTTGGTTTCTGCTCGGTAAAAAGTATACAAAGCCTTTTAAAAAGTCCACTTGTGTTTCTAAAAAATACAAATTTTAATGCCGTCTGCAGTTACAGGAACATGTGACGTATTGTACAGAGATCAATATTTTAAAAAACTGATTATACAGTGAAATCTTCCTTTCTCGGGGTCTAGTTAGTTTTTATAATGTTAGAAAAAAGACAGCACCCCTACTCCCTCTTCTTTTTCCCCCTTTTTTCAAGAATGTTACTAATTACCTTGTTTTGAGTGGATCAGTAGTGGAACCTCCGAGCATCTGCACTGCTGACTACCAAAATGTTATAGGAATTAAAGTCAATGGAGCTTTTTAAGTGTTAACTGTCTTGTTTCCCAGATCACCTGACACTTTGTTGTCTGTTACTCAAGTGGAGAGCGAGATATATATATATA